CAGTGAAGACGAAAACACGCCGGCTCGGTTTATATATGAGGCTGCGCTACGCTTGGATGCTTCTCAAGTTGACAAAGGTCTGTATGGCTTCAGTCAAACGATTCAAGCTGACTTAGGCCAATACAGACCTATACTTTTTTTTTGTTTAGGTATTGCGCCTTTTTGTGACTTCATGTTAGCTTTAACAGTGAATTACAAAAAGAACTAACAAATATTAAACAACAAATAAAAACATAGATGATAGCGAAATCAAAACCTATATTCAACAACAAATACAGAACATTGATGATAGCGAAATCAAAACCTATATTCAACAACAAATACAAAATATTGATGATAGTGTTATTCAACAACAGATAACCACTATTAATAATGAAGTTTTAAAACAGGAGAAAAATATAACCGCATTAGAAAACCATCTCAAGAAAGAAAATAAATCATATTATTTCAATCTCCCATTTGTAAATTTAACTTATAAAGATGCTTCTATTACTGACAATATTGACAAATCAAAAGATTATGAATTGAGAAAATATGGATTTACAGCAAATATAAGAGTATATTCTGTTGCAGATGGTAATATTAACCCCCCAGGTTTTTTTGATAGTGTTGATATTTTTCGTAGATCACTTTTTACTTTCCGAGGAAAACTTCTAATTGAAATAACTTTTTCTTTTCAGGTAAAAGTTGATTCAATATTTTTCAGACAAATGTCGCCATATAGATCTCCTCGTCAATTTAACGCTCAAAAAGTTGAATTTGAAATTAACGACGAAAACACCATTAATCACTTATATGAAATTAAAACGAGTGGAAAATATATAGATAGGTTTAGAATGTTAATCATACCAGATAAAGAAGAAGATGAACTTGAATTTGATATGATATTGGAGACCGAAACTCCACCATCAATAAATATTATTAGAAACCCAAAAGCCACAAAAGGAAGTAGGAATTTACGAGTTTTTACGATCATCAGAATTTGAATATGTAAAACTATATTACGTTAATAATTATTATTTCACCTCTCTTGATATTCATAAAAGTCAACAAAGATATAAATTTTTTATACCAACAATAATAGATGAAGAGGTAAATGTTAGATTATTAATCTCTATTGAAAAACCAACATTTTCAGTTCATCTAAACAAGATTAATGAATCGAAAGAACAAAATAATATCGTTAGTTGCTGTAAAAGTTTTTACCATGGACAAAAAAAATATCCAGCTTTTTGGTTTATCAGAAATTCATTTAATTTAATTACCTAAAAAATGGAACTAGAAAGCAGACAAAACTACATTATAGAAAAACAAAATGAACTAAAAGAAAAGCTAAAACACTTCATCAAATGCAGTTAAACATGGAGTAGAATTGATTCTGTTTTCAAAACATTAAGCACAGTTCTAACAGTAGGGATAACAGTGACAACAGCCGTAACCGGTGGGTTAATGCTTCCAATAATTGTCCCAACTGTATTAGCCACGTTCACTGCCGTTCAAACTTCATCTTGTGGATTGATTACTTTAGGTTTAACATCAAAACAGAAATCTCATTATAAAAAGAAAACAGAAATTTGAAATACATATCTTAATAAATTATTTATATTTTTTGAAAGATCGAGAGAAGATAACCATTGAAGAATTAGAAGGATTCAATGAAATTTTAGATAAATTTGATGTAGAAATATCATCAATAAAAGTGAAAAATTCCTAGTTAAAAAATAGATACTTAAAAATATGAATATAATTGAAATTTTAGACGATAAAATATTCATATCAAATGTGCTTTTTTCCAATGTTATTAAGGCTGTCTCTGAAAAATTTATAAAATTTAAAGGGCAAATTGAATTAGATGGAAAGATAATTCAAGATGGATGACACAAACAAAACATGTAATTTGTAGGCTTTAATGCCAAAACTTTTCACAATTTCTTCGCAACAGTGGATGTAAAACCGGATGCTTCTGATTGATATTTCAAAGGAAAAATCATTTTACGTAAAAACAATTTCAAAGAAATAAAAAGATAAAAAAAGGGTAGTGGTACCGCCCTACTCTAAAAGATAAATGAATATGCCGGTATAAATTGTTACATACCAAGCGATGGACACTGCTTTATAAAGTGTGTAAATCGTGTTTTGAACAAAGACTACACAAAAGAATTTCAAGATTTCATCAACAGTTTTTCAAAATCAAATAGAAAAGGAGTTATGACAACTGCTAGAATCAGTGAATTCAATAAGAAATTTAATACTTATTGTCAAATTTATATGCCCAAAAATAGACATTTTCAACCAAACAAAGTATCCGAGGAATTAGATTGGGTATTCTACTTACATAAATCACATTTCTGTCTCATTAGAAGAAATAACAAAATCTTAGGCATTAAAGAATTAGAAGATAATTACGATGAAAATGTCTGGAGAACTTGTAGAGATGATAATGCGGTAACATGAGTTTCACCTCTAAAACTAAATGTTTTTCCAACAATTCACGATGATTGTTTATACGCATGGGATTGCGAAACCTATAGCGAAAAAGAAACGAATGAAGCCATTCCTTATTCTTGCACGTTAATTAATTTAGAAAAACTAAGAAAAATGTTAGACAGAATAAAACATAACTTTCCAGATTTAAATCCCACTGATAGTGTTCCAGAAGAATTTTATGATAAATTCATGAATATAGTAGAAATATTTGTGGGTAAAGATTGCATTGATCAAATGTTGCAACGTTTAGGAAAAATAGATAAAAAAAAAGATTAACATTAATTTCTCGTCACAGTAGTTATAGAGCTTAGAGAATGTTCGCACTCCATTTCATTCCATGGGGAAGCCCACCAAGAAGTCCTAAACACCTTTCATTCCATCAATCTCTTCAAAAAACACATCTACACCCTACACCCCACCCACAAAAAGAACCTATTCACCCTACATTTCATCATTAAATTAACTCATTTTAAAAACACGAACAACTCATTTGAATTTGTTTAATCTGTCTAAAATTAACTCCATAGTATATGAATAAAATTCACATAAGGAAGTAAATAGTAATATATAGGTTATAACACAAAAAAAAAAACACTCGTAAAATCATCGCAAACTAAACACACAAATTCAAAAAAGACACATCCTTCTGTCCCAACTATCACAAAAAACTCCTCAGAATCCTATATAATCCCTTCTTCACTTTAGATTAGAATATTTAACAAAAAATGCATATTAAGAATACCCTTATACAAAATAACTTCCTTGTTTCGCTTAACATCCGGTTTTTTAATAGCCTCTTTTTATAGCCTCGTTTTAAATAATGTTATTTATAGTTTTAATCTAAAAACTTCTAGAGGGAAGATAACTCTTGTTTGGAAAAAACAGACCACAATTTCTTCGTTAAATTAACTCATTTAAAAATAGGATGAGTTTAATTTTAAAATACGAACCACACAATTTCGATGATTATTCAGGTGACGGTATCTTTTCATCAATATTTTCTCTAGGTAAAAAAATAATTCCAAAAGTAGCTAGCTTTGTTTCAAAGAACAAATCCCTCATTTCATCCGAGGCTAAAGCTATAGGATCTATCGCGGAAGCGAGAAAGAGTATAAGCGACGCAGTGAAACAATCTGACGAGTTGAAAGAATTGCAGTTGGTAAGTGAACTGAGAAACAGGATATTAGAAGAAAGGAAAGGAAAAGGTTTTAAAGTTATAGGATAAAAATGATAGTCGCCCAGCCTCTAAAAACTTATTTCGGTTCAGATATACAAAAATTATTGGGCTCTCTTCCTGGATTTCCATGGCAAAATATCTTGGAGAAAAACATCTTCCCGGTCATAATTACACTGGTCCAGGTACTAGGTTAGATCTGCGATTAGATGAAAACGATAAACCTTAACCGGATGAAGAACCAGTCAATAGAGTTGACGCCTCTGCGCTTAAACACGATATTTTATACAGAAATAAAGACATAAAGTTCAGACACGGAGCAGACAGACAAATGATAATCGAACTTGAAAATATTCCAAATTCAACTTTCAAAAGAGAATGCAAAGGGCTCTAATCATAAAACTGTTAAAAGCAAAGATGAAATTGGGTATGGGATCGGCGGATGAAATTCATAAAGAATTTAGAAAAACTAAAAACTTTTTAAAAGTTAAAGTATTTGAAAAGGATGAAATATGGTCAGCCGATTTAATTAATATGCTAGTCGAAAGGGGGTATAAATATTGCTTAACAGTTATAGCTTTGTATACAAGATATGCTTGGGTTATTCCTTTGAAACACAAAACAGGATTATCAGTCAAACATGCTTTTGAAACGATTATGAAACATAAAAAACCCCAAAAGTTATGGGCAGATAAAGCAAGTGAATTTTATAATAAAAATATGAAATCACTTGGGTTTGAAATTTACAGTACTCATAACGAGGGAAAAGCTGTAGTAAAAAGTCAAAACTTTTCAAAAAATTCATAGAACTAAAGTCTCAAAAATGGTTAAAGATTTTACCCACTGTTGTATCGGAATATAATAATGAAATTCATTCTTCCATCGGTGTTTCTCCAATGGAAGCTAGTCAAAATCCAGACTTTATAAAGTTTTCTCCTGCCCTTCATAATTTTGGAAATGGAATGAATAATTTAAATATTAAACCCAAATTTAAAGTTGGAGATCGCGTTCGTATTTTCAAATATAAAAGCAAATTCGAAAAAGGTTACGTTGGATACTGGACAAACGAAATATTCATCCTTGATGAAGTAAACACCATATCACCTTCGACATATGAATTAATCGATCAAGAAAAAGAACAAATCATAGGTAGGTTTTATCAAAACGAACTTTAAAACACAGACTTTTAAAAATGAATATCTTTCTCGATAAATATGGAACTGATACAACCACAAACTTTCAACTTATGAGATGGGCGAATGAGTTAAATATATCACCGTTTTATTATTGTATGAGAGATGAAGTAAATGATCTCAAATATAAGAACGGTAAATTTTATGCTATAACAAATATAATTCATCATTCTGCTTTGTACAAAGACTCTTCAAATAACTTATATTTTTTTGATTCTTTTGGATTAGAACCAACTGAAGAGAAAATGAAATTAAATGTACTACATTTCAAATTCAATTACCAGGACAAAAGTTTTGTGGACAGCTTTCACTTTGGGTTTTATATCAGTTGAGTTTAGGAAAACAGTTTTAAAAAATTATAATAAATTTAACTCAATAAAAATGGCGAACAAGTTTCTTCTAATCTCCTGTTTCTCAGTTCTCTTATCAGCTGTAATTCTTTCAACTCGTCAGATTGTTTCACTGCGTCGCTTATACTCTTTCCCGCTTCCGCGATAGATCCAATAGCTTTAGCCCCGGATGAAACGAGGGATTTATTCTTTTGAATCAAAGCTAGCTACTTTTGGAATTATTGTTTTACCTAGAGAAAATATTGATGAAAAGATACCGTCACCTGAATAATCTTCGAAATTGTGTTCTTCGTGTTTTAAAATTAAACTCATCCTATTTTTAAATGAGTTAATTTAACGACGAAATTGTGGTCTGTTTTTTCCAAACAAGAGTAATCTTCCTTCTAGAAGTTTCTAGATTAAACTATAAATAACATTATTTAAAACGAGACTATAAAAAGAGGCTGTTAAAAAACCGGATGTTAAGCGAAACGAGGAAGTTATTTTGTATAAGGGTATTCTTAATATTCTTTTTTCGTTAAATATTCTAGTCTAAAGTGAGGAAGGGATTATGTAGGATTCTGATTTAAGTTTTTTGTGTGTTTAGTTTGCGATGTTTTTTTGTGTTATAACCTATAAATTACTATTTACTTCCTTATGTGGATTTTATTCATATACTATGGAGTTAATTTTAAACAGATTAAACAAATTCAAATGTGTTGTTCGTGTTTTTAAAATGAGTTAATTTAATGATGTAATGTAGGGTGAATAGGTTCTTTTTTGGGGTGGGGGTTGATGAAATG